ATGGATCTCAAACTGCGCTCCAAGCACAGGGGTCTGTGAAGCATAGACTGACGGAACCTTGGGTATTGATAGTGACACTTACTTTTTTATTTTATTTTATTTATTTATGATTTTCATATGATTCATTTATCTGTGATTCATTTACCTGTGATTCATTTACCTTTTCTCTTCTCTCCTCCCTTCCCTTGATACTTACTATTAACCAGAAATAAAACACACGAGGTCAAGTCGTTATGGGAAAATAATCCATGCTGGGTGACGAAGCTGTGATGTGAGGTGGGGTTACTCCTACTGTGATTTATTTCCCTTACACCACAGCCATTTCCCAAAAGATGTCCATTTTTGATGTATAACGTATAACGTTGTCAGAACAACTTCTTATCGCTTACGCTACAGCAGCTATAAACAGTCATTCCCTGCCCAGTCTATCCGGAAACGCAGCTTTTCACGCCACAGAGAAAACCGGGACGTACGTACGTAGCTTTATCCTTGACTGTGGAAAAGCTCTGACACTGGAGACTCCTTCCAACAATGTCGAATAAATGAACGTCTCCTCACAGACAAGGACACTGTATTAACAACAACAACATGAGGTTTTAAAGCAACATGCCTAATTGACTGCCACTTTAATCGATACTGATATATAGACGTAATTACAACAACTTGTTTATTGTAGCCATTGGATTTTTTTTTAAGTTTCAAAAGGTGAGGTGGGTTGGACATTTGAATGATTCCCGCCCATGTTCACGAAGCCCCGCCCCCAGGATCTTAGGTATCTACAAAAATAACTGACACAAACAGGGTTTCCGGACCGGAAGTCGTTTCCCCAAACGACTTAAGAAACTTTTGCGACTTCTGAATCACAAGTCATTCAGAAGCCCATTGTTTTCTTAAATGACGTTCGACGTATTTCTCAGGTTAGTTGTAGAAGGGAGACCTGTGTGGAAGGCAACACGTCTTTTTAGTCACTTACCGCTGGATGCTCCTGTTCCTCATGTCCGGTCTCGACCCACGCGCCGACCGGAACCACCGCCGGGTTCCTCTCGGCTAGAACCCGCATTTCTCTCTTCTGCTTTCTCCATCTGCTTGGGCTTACCACCCGTCCTCCATCTTTTACTCGACCTGTCTGGCTTGTTTCGCTCTTCCGGACATTTCTCCGTTGACTCATCTATACTTTACTAGTTTAACATCAACTATTTTTTATTTTTTTTTGGTTCAAGATCTTTTGTATTATTATGAGCTGCTTCCGACGATTCAAATCTTGTTGACAAGTGACGCCGGCACCATCGCAACCGCTTTCCCCGCCTTCCTCTAAATCCTATTGGGCGAAACTAAAGCATCGTAAATCGGATTGGTCGTCGTGGATGTCATTCAAACAGGCCGTTAGTTTGCGCCACACCCATTTTGCTCAACATATTTGGTCCCGGGTGTAAACATGAGCCTATGTATTATTTATGCAGGGGAGTAGATTATTTTCAGTAAATTATATTTCTATTTATATATATATATATATATATATATATATATATATATATATATATATATATATATATATATATATATATATATAAAACAGTTCTGTGCAAAAGGCACGTGCATCGAAAGGCTGTAAAACAAAGATGCCTTCAGAAATAATAACATATCTTTAAAAAAACTATAAACAGTAATAAACAAAGTAAATTCCTTGTCTTAAGTACAGTTTGTGCAGATTTATAAGGAAATTAGCTGGTTATTATTATTATTATTATTAATTTTTTTTTAAAATGAGCATCTTGGAGAAGCTGCCGCAGTTCTTTTGGAGACTGTCACATTCCGTGTATTTTTGTAACAAAACCCAACAGCTTTCTTTGTTTTTTTTTTGTTTGTTTTGTTTTGTTTTTTTTGGTCTGAAAGTGGTCTATTACATAATTGTTGATTTTTGCCACATTAAAGTTTGTTTTGGTTGGATAAGTGAGGTTTTTTTTATTGTGCTGACTCAATAATATCAATAATAAATTTTAATGTTCTACAAAACAAGTCGGTTCTTCTTATCAGCAGTAAACAGTCGTTTCCTCACCGGCCTCTGTTTTCTCTCTCTTTTGAAGTACATTTTAAAACAAAACAGCGCTGCAGTTTGTCATTTTTCCAGGAGACTCTGACACCTGAGACTCCTTCCATAAACTCCACCATATCGACGAATATACGCTTTTCTTTGTTAAATAACAACACATTGTTTCAAAATCTGTCTGTTATTAGCCCTATGTTCAAGTAACAAGAGAGTCTTCAGGATGGAGGGATTTGAACGTTGAGGTCTAACGGTGTTTTCGACTTATTAACATCCGGAGAGAGAAGAAAAAAGTGAGGCTGGTGAGGGAACAACTGTTTAGTGTTGCTGTAACGTAAGTGATAACAGGAATTAACTTCGATATTAAAAGAAAGTAGAAATGGACAGAAAGTACATATGCTGTTTTAGGAGAATAATCATCTCTGGGGTGGTAACAGCATCACAACACACTCTCTCTCCTCTCTCTCTCTCTCTCTCTCTCTCTATATATATATATATATATATATATATATATATTAATTAGATAATTGTTACAATGTTTTGCCTACATTATTAACTTTTCTTTCTGTTTCATAATCCCAAAACAAAATAATAATTCATCATTCTGTCCACCAGCCATTTGTCTTGCTGTCTCCGGCATATACGTCGATGCCTGGACATGAATCAACACAAGAATCCTCAGACAATGCTCGCTCTCAGCTGCTGGGTTCGCTCACAACAAGGAGCCCACTGTCCCTTTTGTATGATTCAGCAAGCACATTCTCTCTCAGAGAGAGAAACAGAGAGAGAGAGAGAGAGAGAGAGAGAGAGAGAGAGAGAGAAGAGAGAGACAGACCAGCATGAACTGCATTTACCCTGCAAAGTTACATAACGCTTAGTATGGTGTCACATAGATCAAAATGCAAAAGACCATCATATACAGTCCATTTGTGTTTTATTTCTCCATTGTAATGCCCTTGTAATTTATGCAAACTCTCCACTAAACAATCATGAAAAAAATCAAAAAAACATGAACAGAAATGAAACAGCATTGTGCTACTCACAGTCATATTCAAGCAAAAGGAAAGAAGTGCACATGGTATTTTAAATTTTTTTGTACAGTAGAGATGTTTGATTCGTATACTTCCAGCCATTTCATTATTTTATAGTTATTGAAAAGCCATGTGACCCATGTCATGTCTGTAGCTCGAAATGGATTCCTAAAGGATTATTAATCCTGACGTCAGCCTAAAAATGATGTTCATCTTACATCGTTCCTGTACAGTCATAAAGAGCGCTAAAATAATCAGATATTATCTTGAACATGTTGATTTAATGTTGTGGAGCTACAGCTGAATGCAAAATCGTGGATACTCTGTGATTTCCTGGTGGAAAAAACGAGCACATGGATGCATCACGTATTCGGCAGCGAAACAAGAATCTGAAGTGTATATATATACACTTATATATATAAGTGTATATATATACTGTATATATATATATATATATATATATATATATATATATATATATATATATATATATATATATATATATATATATATATATATATATATATATATATATATATATATATATATTGCACAATCAAACAAAAGACCTTAGAGGACATGTTGCTTTCTTTCTCTCGGTCTGTAGTTCTGATTGATGAGTGCTTCCGTGATTTGTAAAAAAAAAAAAAAAAAAAGAAATTTACTTTACATGCTGTACATATTTGTAAATGTAATTGAAGAAGGGTGTACTTTCTTTTTCCCATGACTGGAATTGGTTTGTAACATTGTTTATAGAGTAAAGCTTAAAATGCACACTTTGAGCACATGTCTAGGCAAAAAAAACCCCCCCAAAAAACTAAAGGTACGAATGATTCACACTTGAGAGTACAACCCTAGAGACAAGGTACAGTTAAGTAGGTTTATTTTGTTCTATATAATAATATTCTTTCTACTGTGCAAGCAAGAGAATTTCCTCCTAAACCTTGGTGAATATAGGTGAAGGTGAATAGGTGAAGGTCCTGATTTTGAAAATAAAGGCACTGGCAAAAAAAAAAAAGAAAGAAAGAAGATATTTACATATTTTCACATTCATCTCTGTTCCATATACATGCCCTGATCTCAACTTAGTTGACAGGAAGTCCCTCTTCTATCTCTCGGAGTAGCATTACAGGTTGGATGCCACTTTTAGCTGGTTCGGTGAGAGGTGAATCCGCAGGCCACCGGTTTGGAGGGGAGGAGCTACTGGAGGTGCGGGTGCGTGGTGGAGACGGCGCATGAGCGTGGCTCCTCCTCTGGCCATGGCGCACAGGAGGCGAGTTGGTGGGTGTGCGTGGGTAACGGCGGGACGCACGTGCTGGAGGTTCGGATGAGTGTGTATGAGGTGGTGCGGAGCTCCTGTTGCTGGAGGGGCTGCCGCCGTTGCTCGTGCACGTTTTGCACACTGAGGCAGGTTCTTCGCTTGGAGTGTCCTGCAGGGCCAAATATACATAATCTAGATTAGTCAACCCAATCCCCTGCAACATTTATACGAATTCTAACAAAGAGTTATATAATTGTTTGAATGGATCGAATCTGCGAAACCTTTTCACTGCCCTAACATTAGGCCTGATTTATACTATCTGTGTGCGATGTAAAAACAACAACAACAAACTAATCGAAAGCCTCAATGCTACTTACAACTGAGTTCTAATTCGCCACAATGTTAGGTATGAAAGACAGGGAATGATTTGGGATTTTCCCATTTTTCATCGGGCAGCCTGGAGCCTATCCCAGGGAACTCAGGGCACAAGGCAGGGGACACTCTGGACGGGGTGCCAACCCATCGCAGGGCAAAGTCATACACTACGGACAATTTGGAAATGACAATCAGACTACAATGCAAGTCTTTGGACTGGGGGAGGAAACCAAAGTACCCAGAGGAAACCTCTGAAGCACATGGAAAACCTGCAAACTCCGTACACACAGGGCAGAGGCGGGATTCAAACCCCCAACCCTGGAGTTGTGAGGCCAAAGTGCTAACCACTAAGCCAATGTGCCCCTAAATAAAGCGATATTACTCTGAAATCCTTGATAAAACCCACAGAGGAAGGGTCTCAGTGACATACACTACAGGTGATATGCATAGTTAGAGATTTGAAGGTATGCACGTCAATATAAACCGCTCTATACAGTAGCTAACCATTTAAAACCACCCTTAGTATGCCTCATTAAAATGCGATGTAAAAGAAGCTTTGTAAGCTTTAATGGCCATATTGTGGAATATTGTGGAATGTTCACGCAAAAGCAGGTGACTAAGACCTCATTAAATTGCAGCAATAAGCATTAATTTATCCACCATTTCCACCATGTGAATGGTGGAAAACTCAGACATCTGAAACCTTCTGTAAATATCCACACAGTGACTCCTCCACATTTGAGCCTTTTACCAGAATGTGAGTTTTAATCTAATCTCTGAAATATTTTGTACAGCCTAACGGACTGAAGCTGAATGAATCACATCGAAGTAATGTGCCACTTATCCACTTGAATGGTTATTTCCGCACACGAGTGTGCTAAGCCGAGAGGCGTCGATTCAATTATTTTGATGGTGACGTGGTTGTACCTTCTCCTTCAGGATGTAAAGTGAGACCGGATTCCTGCGCTCATGATCTGTCATTAGCGGGACGACGTGATCTAAAAACATAAACACACGCCAGTGTATAAATTAGTCTGACACATGTACAGCCTATAGTGGTAGCAATGAATGTACTGAAAATGACCGAATTCTCTATGGTTAAAATCCTTTTTCATAACTGTTCTTGGGCAACACATGAGAATTAATAGTAGCGAAAGATAAAGTGAATAATAAATGGAAGTAGTAGTAGTAGGAGATTGTTAGCGTTTGCAAATGAAATTCATTTATCTATATTTACCACCCAGGTAGCAGACTGATGTTGGCGCAGGGTCTATTTTGGGAGGTTACGTTGGTCCTTCCTATGCAACATTGTGCAATGTTTGGAAAGACGCACTTTTCATATCAACCCTGCTAACATTGGACCAACATCATTGGCAAGGTGGTTTTAAATCATTTTCAAAATGTCAAAATGGGGTTCTCAAGATAACGAAGGGAAAACCTCGATTTTAAGGGTCTATATAGCACCTTCAAGGGTTAAGCTATCAACATTTTTTTCAAGTGTGTACTTGTTTACCTTCTGGTTTGTCCTCGTGTATTATATGGTGGCTTTCAGGGCTGGATCTTGGTGTATTTGTCTTCACTTTCTGTCTTTTCCTTCTGCAATATAAGATACGCTAAGATGTTAGAAATGACTGGCTGAGCGGAGTGAAAAAGTGAGCAATGCTATGATTTCTCGCCTTTTTGATGGTTTCCAACAGGCACACACTGATACCAGAGTGATCAGGACAAAGATGCCTCCTGTGGAAAGGATGATGTAAAGGGAGCTTCTTTCTGTAAACAGAGAACGAGCAACTTAGCATTTTCTACCCTGATAAGCTCAAACGTTTTAAAATAAAGGTTGGAGATTTGTACAGATGGCACATCTACTTACTATAAACGGTGAGTTTCAGGGGCAAGCTCTTCACACTGCCGATAGGGTTCTCCACGAGACAGCTGTAGACATCATCATCCACCAGCAGCACTCGTGTGAGGGTCAGAATCTTCTGGTCAGGAGACAGCAGCAGGCGAGTGTGGTTAACCAGCGGCTTTCCGCCTTTCGTCCAGCTGTACGTGGTTTTGGTTCCCGTGTCGTGAGAACAGTTCAGAGTGAAATGTTCAGTCAGTTCCACAACAGTGGTGGTGGTTACATCCACATAGGGTGCGGATATTGGCTCTGTGAAAAATACTCAGTTGAGTGATGCACAGGGACTTGGATGGTGGACCTGCCACATAATCTAAGACTAATAATAAACAAATTAAAAGTATTTGGTTATTTAACAGATAAAAATGTGCAATTTCATGTCAAGGTGATGCTGTCTATACAGCGCTGCTTATTTGACATTCATAGAAGGATCTCCAGTGTCAGCAGGTTTTCTGCCATAGAAAAGTCTTTTTATGCTTTCCAGTTTCTAGAAAACAAGCTGTGCTTTTTTTTTTGTCTTACTGATTTCAAGAGAGAAAAAATAATAGAATAATAGAAGAACATTAACCAGAGCATCACACTGCCTCTGCTAGCTTGCCTTCTTCCCATTGTGCATCCTGGTGCCATCTTCTCCCAGGTAAGCGACGCACACGCACCCGGATATCCAAATGATGTCAAAGAAAACATGATTCATCAGACCAGGCCACCTTCTTCCATTGCTCCATGGTCCAGTTCTGATACTCACGTGCCCATTGTTGGCGCTTTCGGCAGTGGATGGAGGTCAGCATAGGCACTTTGACCGGTCTGCGGCTACGCAGCAGGTACTGTGTGTTCTAACACCTTTCTATCATCGCCAGCATGAACTTTGAACTTTGAACAACATGAACCCCTCTTCTAGGGGATCGGACCAGATGGGTTAGCCTGCACTCCCCACATGCATCAGTGAGCCCTGGGCACTGGTTCACTGGATGTCCTTCCTTGTTTGGTAGTTACCAAACACTGCATACCAGGAACACCCTACAAGACCTGCTGTTTTGGAGATTTTTTGACCCAATCGTCTAGACATCGCAATTTGGCCCTTGTCAAAGTTGCTCAGATCCTTATACTTGCCCATTTTTCCTGCACATCAACTCTGAGAACTGAATCTATTGACTATTTGGCTATAGCCAAATATTCCTACTACACAATAGGCAAAAAGCCGTATGCTAAAGGAGTAGTTCTCAGAGTTCTCAGTCTTCATAAAACAGTAGGTGAGAAATACCTGGATACTGATTCTGCCTCGATTCTGTAGTATGGAACGACTGGACACTGTGGATACTGCAGAATCCCATAATGCAATGGGACATGTGCGGAAGAACTGTCTGGACTGTATTCATGTTTAAAACTTATACTGATCATTATGTACTGTATGAACAGCTGAGCAGAAGGTACTGAATCGAATGCAGTAGGTTCTGTTAAAGTATGTGATTCCAGATGCAGCCTGATATATATATATACACACGTATATATATATATATATATATATATATATATATATATATATATATATATATATATATATATATATATACCACCCCTTGACAGGTGACAAAATGTCAAAGAAACTAATATAAAGCAGAAATTCATGTCTGTCCTTATAAATTTCCACATCAATACTTTGCAGAGCTAAGAATTTCCAAGAAATTTGGTTTTCCAATAAAACCAAAGAAAACGTGGGAAGAAACCAAAATGTTAGGACGGTGGGGGTGGTTTAACTTCATTTAGTTTACTTTGGCAGACAAATTTACGATCAAGGACATCACCCATGATATGTAGCTTAGTTTTCCCAAAGCATCATAGAGTTAAGATCTTAACTGAGTGAGAGAATGCTCAATGTAATGCTTACTCTACCATATAACAATGTAACTATATCCCCTTGTTGTTTGGATACAAAACAATTTCGATTAGCAATCGGTAAAACTTCTTCACATCTTCTAACTAGTATTTGACCATACCATGCTATCCATGTTAAAATTCGAGTCCAACTTGTCTTCTGCAAGCATTTTTTTTAGATTAGCATAAAAGCATACCATCCACGGTGAGCTCGATGCTCTCTTCCCCTGTGAAGGTGTCATCAGTGATGGAGATCTCCACCTCGTACACTCCCTCGTCAGAGAGCTTTAAGTTATGTAGTAGGAGAGTGCCATTCTCAAACACCAGGATACGGTCTCGGTATTCCAGCCGCAGGTTTCCGATGATCTCGGTGCCAATCGATTGGACCACCGTGATCGGTTTCTCCCTCTTGAGCTGCCATTTGATAACAGGTGGATCCAGACTGGTGCTGGAGTACCGGACAGAGAGCAGGGCTTCCCCACCTACTGTGCCTCGGATCAGATTTCCAAAACTGGTGATGTTTACACCTTCGACGCCTCCTGTACAAAAAACGGTCAGTTACAGTGTATCCTCTTTTGCTGATTTGACCAACCCTGATCTCATCAACAATACGAAGGAAAGTAAAAAGTAGTTGCTATTCAGTGCACCAAGGTATTTCTCCCGTCACGCCTTTCTCATTTACTCTTCTCAGCTACCTCCTACAATGTGAGAAGATAGTACTTTAATTTAATAAGCATGCTGCTGATTCTGTCAAAGCTTCTTCTCGCCTCTGCATGTGCCCAGCTGCTCCCTCCTTACACTGCATCCCGATACACTTATTAAGCCATAGTAAAACTCATTAGGATGAATTCCACAAAACTCTATAAGAAGCAAAACTCACAGCTGAAATCAACAAAAATAACAACTAAATGGTTTGACGTGCACTAAATCTTCCAATAATACAGCTCAACCACTGTGGCATGTCAGCTTTCCTTCATGCCATTAATATGGAATAAAAAACAAAACGAGTTACACGGCATTTTCATTCAATTTGTGTGAAAAACCTAAGGATTAATTCTGTTCATATCATAGCTTGATAAATGAGGCCTAATGTGTTCACTCCAAATCACGCTCACACGTTAGAAATGCAGCATCCTTATGCCTGTGGTGAAACCTCTCCAAGGTGAGAGTGTTCCACTCTCAGAGAGAGCTCCAAATAGAAACGCTTTCGGAAAGTAAGACGTGTTCTAGCTATCCAAAGAACCCTTGAGAAAACAATTATTCGAAGAGTGTTTGTAAGTCATGATAATGAAATGAAATCGAAGCAGTCAAAACAAACCAGACCGACATCTCACAGTTGGTAGAAACTGATTCACATGAATAGGTCCCAATGGCACTGATTAGTCAAGAAAGCTGTTTGTATGATGTTATTCATATAACAAAATCACCTAACTTGGAAGAATTCCTATCGTTATCCGTCTGCTGATTTGCCCAGGATAATTCTCAAAACGGGCAAGTAATGAAAGACCTACGAGAAAGACCAAATGGGGAATCGTCTTATTCATTAATAAATGAATAAGATTGTGGAATCAGAGGTTTAGTGCAGAAGAA